GCTCACTGGGCCTGTTTACAGAGCTGGTACCCGTCTGACAGGTTCAGTCAGCAGCTGAGGCGCACGACAAACACGCCGCCGGCCTGCCGACATGCGGGTCTGCTTCCTGCTGGTGGATCAGAGCAGCTCCAGGAGGAAGATCTTGATCATCCAGAACCAGATCCGCCTCATGAAAACTGATCCATTTAAACATGTTTAATAAAAACCAGATAATAAAAAAGAAAAAGCTGGAAGAAGACGAGGATGGGAAGGAAGAAGAGGAAGAGGAGGAGGAGGAGGGTGAACTGATGATGATGTAACTGATGGTTACAGCAGGACGCCTGCAGGCAGTGCTGAGGGATTGGCTCCAGTGAGGGCCGGAACCAGCCTGTAAACTGGGTCTGGAACCAGCCTGTAAACGGGTCTGGAACCGGCCTGTAAACGGTTCAGAACCAGCCTGTAAACGGGTCTGAAACCAGCCTGTAAACAGGTCTGAAACCAGCCTGTAAACGGTTCAGAACCAGCCTGTAAACGGGTCTGAAACCAGCCTTTAAACGGTTTAGAACCAGCCTGTAAACGGGTCTGAAACCAGCCTGTAAACGGGCCCGAAACCAGCCTGTAAACGGGCCCGGAACCAGCCTGTAAACGGGTCTGGAACCAGCCTGTAAACGGGTCTGGAACCAGCCTGTAAACGGGTCTGGAACCAGCCTGTAAACGGGTCTGGAACCAGCCTGTAAACGGGTCTGAAACCAGCCTGTAAACGGTTCAGAACCAGCCTGTAAACGATTCTGAAACCAGCCTGTAAATGCGTCCGGAACCAGCCTGTAAGCGGGTCCGGAATCAGCCTGTAAACGGGTCTGGAACCAGCCTGTAAACGGGTCTGGAACCAGCCTGTAAACGGGTCTGGAACCAGCCTGTAAACGGGTCTGAAACCAGCCTGTAAACGGTTCAGAACCAGCCTGTAAACGATTCTGAAACCAGCCTGTAAATGCGTCCGGAACCAGCCTGTAAGCGGGTCCGGAATCAGCCTGTAAACCGCTCTGCAACCAGCCTGTAAACGGGTCTGGAACCAGCCTGTAAACGGGTCTGAAACCAGCCTGTAAACCGCTCTGGAACCGGCCTGTAAACGGGTCTGAAACCGGCCTGTAAACGGGTCTGAAACCGGCCTGTAAACGGGTCTGAAACAGGCCTGTAAACGGGTCTGAAACCAGCCTGTAAGCGGGTCTGAAACCAGCCTGTAAGCGGGTCTGAAACCAGCCTGTAAACGGCTCTGGAACCAGCCTGTAAACGGGTCTGTAACCAGCCTGTAAACGGGTCCGGAACCAGCCTGTAAACGGGTCCGGAACCAGCCTGTAAACGGGTCCGGAACCAGCCTGTAAACGGTTCAGAACCAGCCTGTAAACGATTCTGAAACCAGCCTGTAAACGGCTCTGGAACCAGCCTGTAAACGGGTCTGTAACCAACCTGTAAACGGGTCTGGAACCAGCCTGTAAACGGGTCTGGAACCAGCCTGTAAACGGGTCTGGAACCAGCCTGTAAACGGGTCTGTAACCAGCCTGTAAACGGGTCCGGAACCAGCCTGTAAGCGGGTCAGAAACCAGCCTGTAAACGGTCAGAACCAGCCTGTAAACGGGTCCGGAACCAGCCTGTAAACGGGTCCGGAACCAGCCTGTAAACGGGTCCGGAACCAGCCTGTAAACGGGTCCGGAACCAGCCTGTAAACGGGTCCGGAACCAGCCTGTAAACGGGTCCGAAACCAGCCTGTAAACGGTCAGAACCAGCCTGTAAACGGGTCTGGAACCAGCCTGTAAACGGGTCTGGAACCAGCCTGTAAACGGGTCTGGAACCAGCCTGTAAACGGGTCCGGAACCAGCCTGTAAACGGTCAGAACCAGCCTGTAAACCGGTCTGAAACCAGCCTGTAAACGGGTCCAGAACCAGCCTGTAAACGGTTCAGAACCAGCCTGTAAACCAGTCTGAAACCAGCCTGTAAGCGGGTCCGGAACCAGCCTGTAAACAGCTCTTGAACTAGCCTGTAAACGGTTCAGAACCAGCCTGCGCTGTCAGCCTGTGTCCCCCAGCTGCAGAGCAGATGCTGACCCAGAACCAGCCTTTAAACGGGTCAGAACCAGCCTGTAAACAGGTCAGAACCAGCCTGTAAACAGGTCAGAACCAGCCTGTAAACAGGTCAGAACCAGCCTGTAAACAGGTCAGAACCAGCCTGCGCTGTCAGCCTGTGTCCCCCGAGCTGCAGAGCAGATGCTGACCCAGGACCAGCCTTTAAACGGGTCAGAACCAGCCTGTAAACGGGTCTGGAACCAGCCTGTAAACAGGTCAGAACCAGCCTGCGCTGTCAGCCTGTGTCCCCCGAGCTGCAGAGCAGATGCTGACCCAGGACCAGCCTTTAAACGGGTCAGAACCAGCCTGTAAACGGCTCTGGAACCAGCCTGTAAACGGGTCTGTAACCAACCTGTAAACGGGTCTGGAACCAGCCTGTAAACGGGTCTGGAACCAGCCTGTAAACGGGTCTGGAACCAGCCTGTAAACGGGTCTGTAACCAGCCTGTAAACGGGTCCGGAACCAGCCTGTAAGCGGGTCAGAAACCAGCCTGTAAACGGTCAGAACCAGCCTGTAAACGGGTCCGGAACCAGCCTGTAAACGGGTCCGGAACCAGCCTGTAAACGGGTCCGGAACCAGCCTGTAAACGGGTCCGGAACCAGCCTGTAAACGGGTCCGGAACCAGCCTGTAAACGGGTCCGAAACCAGCCTGTAAACGGTCAGAACCAGCCTGTAAACGGGTCTGGAACCAGCCTGTAAACGGGTCTGGAACCAGCCTGTAAACGGGTCTGGAACCAGCCTGTAAACCGGTCTGAACCAGCCTGTAAACGGTCAGAACCAGCCTGTAAACCGGTCTGAAACCAGCCTGTAAACGGGTCCAGAACCAGCCTGTAAACGGTTCAGAACCAGCCTGTAAACCAGTCTGAAACCAGCCTGTAAGCGGGTCCGGAACCAGCCTGATAACAGCTCTTGAACTAGCCTGTAAACGGTTCAGAACCAGCCTGCGCTGTCAGCCTGTGTCCCCCAGCTGCAGAGCAGATGCTGACCCAGAACCAGCCTTTAAACGGGTCAGAACCAGCCTGTAAACAGGTCAGAACCAGCCTGTAAACAGGTCAGAACCAGCCTGTAAACAGGTCAGAACCAGCCTGTAAACAGGTCAGAACCAGCCTGCGCTGTCAGCCTGTGTCCCCCGAGCTGCAGAGCAGATGCTGACCCAGGACCAGCCTTTAAACGGGTCAGAACCAGCCTGTAAACGGGTCTGGAACCAGCCTGTAAACAGGTCAGAACCAGCCTGCGCTGTCAGCCTGTGTCCCCCCAGCTGCAGAGCAGATGCTGACCCAGGACCAGCCCGGTTTACCTTCTCAGCCCGGTGTGAAGCCTCCACACGTCACCCTGAAATTCCTCACATGCTTCCAGAACATTCCTGCTGCAGACGCCAGCGTGATGTCACTTCCTGTCACCCTGTGTCGATGGAGCACCGATTAAGGCCGCTCAGCTGCGGGTTTGACATTCAGAGAATGGAAGCAGACGACAACAGACGGAAAAATAAACGGAAATAAACGAGAAATAATCTGAGGGATTTTATTGATCCCGTTCATTTATGATTTTAATCTGACTTTATTGACTTAGTTGAAGAGTTCTGCCTGGTTCTGGTTCTGACCTGCAGCTGAACCGACCCATCAGCGGCGTTTGATGGTACCGCTGTCGGTTCAGCTTCTCTAAGCCGGTTCTGCTCTCCGGTTTGGACCGGAACCGGCCTGAATCAGGATCTCCTTCCTCCCGGTGGGTTCAGAACATCCTTTGGGTCAGGAAGATGTTTGGCTTCTATCAGAACCGGACCCGGTGAGTCCAGATCAGATCCCCCCGTCCCCCCAGTTAACCTCCAGCCAAACAGGAAGCAGCTGGATCAACATCCTGCCCGGCGTGGAGGATGGGTCCGCCTCAACAGAACCCAGAACAATGCCCGCCTCTGTGCGCCCAGCGGCCAATCAGAACGCTTCTCTCCAGGGAGAACCGGGTCGCTTTGTTCTGGTTCTTTAAATGTTCCTTAAATAAGATCCAGTTTTATTAAAAGTTTGATTTGTTGTGATTTTCTTGTGGGATGTATTGAATGAAACGGTTTCAGTGGATCTGCTGGTCGTTTCCTGTTTCCTGGATGTTTTTCTCATCAGTTGCTGAACAGATGTTGGAGCAGACAGGAGCGCTCACTCTGATCCTAAAACAGCAAATCAATCACATTTCACATTCAGTTGTTTTCAGGATTTATAAACTCAAAACAATTTAACATTTTTTATCTCACAGAGGCGTTTAATAAAGTCATAAAAACACATTCCAGGATGTCCAGCTGTCTTTTGGGAATTCTTTCCCTTTAAACGATAGTTTTCCGCATCCTAAAGGCTGTTTTCACTCACCGCTTATCGATATTATCTATAAAACTTTGTAGATTTGCATCGGCTAGAACTGCCTGGACAGGAATGCGTGTTCTAGATTATTTCAGATATAAAATAGGCAGTTTAATTAAACCATAAATCGCAGTGTTTTCCTGTTTGGTTCTAAAATGATGATGATGATGATGGTGAGCGTTCAGCGAGAGGAAGGAGTCATGTGACCCGCTCTAGTTCTGTTAGATGCAGGCGGTCCCGCTGGTTCTGTTGGCCCAGTCGGGTCGGGTCCGCTCCTCACAGATTGTAGCTGGTCGGTGTTCGTCGTTCCTGCAGAAAACAAACGACTGGATTAGGTTAGATTACAGAAGCAATGTCAGATTATCCAGAATTTATTTGGATTAAATCTGGGTTTGTTTCTTTAATCCCGGTTTATTTTCCTTATATTTGTTTTGTTGGGTTCTGTTCTGTATGCTTGGTCGGGTTCTACAGAGTTCTGGTTCTGGTTCCCCCTCGATCAGAACCGACCAGGACCGGTCAGAACCGGTCAGAACCAGACTAACTGCGGCTTCCTCTGTTCCAGATGCCTTCGTGAACAGCCAGGAATGGACCCTCAGCCGGATGGTACCAGAACTGAAAGTGGTGAGTCCGGCGGTTCCGGTCGGTCCGGTCCGGTCGGCTCGGATCGTCCAGAACTAACCGCTTCCTTCTTCCTCCCCTCAGGGCATTGTGGGTAATCTGGCCAGCGGGAAGTCGGCGCTGGTCCACCGGTATCTGACGGGAACCTACGTCCAGGAGGAGTCTCCTGAAGGTGAGCGGTTCTGGTGTCAGCCCGGTCCGTTTTTTTCCCTGCTTGTGTAGAACATGGATCAGAACCAAGATTGATCCGTTTGGACCTTCCCAGAGTTCTGAACCGGGCCCATCAGAGGAACTACAGAGGTTCTGTTTGGACCTGGGAAGCTTTAGAACCACCTAAAACCCGCCTGGTTCTGATCCGATCAGTTCTCTCCGTTTATTCAGAGAGAAGTCGGATCCACCCAGAACCGACCCGCTGCAGCAGAACCGCACCCTCACTGATCCCAGGTTCTGGTACCGCAGACGGTTCTGATCCGATAAAAAACCCTAAAATCTTCTGAAAGGGAAGAAAATCCAGCAGGAAGCAAATTCCTGCGTCTATAAATACCCGGCTGGGTTCCCATGGCGACCGGTGAGGGGGGGCAGCGGCGGCCAGCGAGCGGAAGAACCGCCGCCGGACCACAAACCAGAACTGTTCTTATTCTGGAGGACCTGGGAGGCTGGGGGGAGGAAGACCGGCTCCGTGGTGCCTTCAGGGACCGTCGGAACAGAAGCGACACATGGGATCCATTAGAGGAAGGAGGGGGGGCTGGTTGGGAAAACCCCCGCCGCTCGGGAAGCCCCGCCCACAGGCTTCCCTCCACTGCGTCTATTCAGCTCAGCTTCTAGCAGGACGGGATTAGATTAAAAAAAGGTTTATTTCAGTTTAATTTGGAATAAAGTCAGAAATCTGAGATTAAACCAAAACGATCCATCCTGGTCCTGCTGTCCTTGTTCTCTGTCCTCCTCCTCTCTCTCTCCTCCTCTCTCCTCCTCCTGCTGTCTCCTCCTCTCTCTCTCCTCCTGCTGTCTCCTCTATCTGTCCTCCTCCTGCTGTCTCCTCTCTCTGTCCTCCTCCTGCTGTCTCCTCTCTCTGTCCTCCTCCTGCTGTCTCCTCTATCTGTCCTCCTCCTGCTGTCTCCTCTCTCTGTCCTCCTCCTGCTGTCTCCTCTATCTGTCCTCCTCCTGCTGTGTCCTCCTCCTGCTGTCTCCTCTCTCTGTCCTCCTCCTGCTGTCTCCTCTCTCTGTCCTCCTCCTGCTGTCTCCTCTCTCTGTCCTCCTCCTGCTGTCTCCTCTATCTGTCCTCCTCCTGCTGTGTCCTCCTCCTGCTGTCTCCTCTCTCTGTCCTCCTCCTGCTGTCTCCTCTCTCTGTCCTCCTCCTGCTGTCTCCCCTTTCTGTCCTCCTTACTGTCCTTCCGGTCCCCCCGCCCCTTTTCTTTTGCCTCCCGGTCCCCCCGGCGTTTTGAGTCTTGTTTGCCCTCCGGGCCCGAACCCGACGTTCTAGTTCTGTTTGGCCTTTCCGGTCCCTCCCCAGTCTTTGGCCACGGTTTGCCCCTGGAGAATCCCCTAACCGGTTCCCATTCCGGGAACCCCGGTGGCCCTTTTAGACAAACCGGCCCGACCGCGTTAGTCGGGTTTAGAACCAAAAACCGGCCAAGGCGCACCGTCCCGCTCCCTTAATCTCATTTGACCCATACCGATGATAAAACTACCCTGATCCAGAGACGGTTTGGTCCGCTGTGAGTACGAACCAAAACCCGGTCACGAAAACCCACCAGGATCATAAACCGGGTTACATTATATAAAACATACGACCCCTAGGCTCTCAAAACCGCTGGAAACAGTCTTGCTAATTCTGAACCAAACGGTCCCGACCGACCCGTTAGTTTGTTAGAACCTTAACGGTCCGACCCGACCCCCCAAGGCCGGTTAGTCTGTTAGAACCATAACCGGTCCCGTCCCGTTAGTCTTTTAGAAACCCATAACGGTCCCGACCGTTAGTCTGTTAGAACCATAACCGGCCCCGACCGACCCGTTAGTTATTAGAACCATAACGGTCCGACCCGTAGTCTGTTAGAACCATAACCGGGTTTCCCGACCCGACCCGTTAGTCTTTTTGAACCATAACCGGGGTCCCGACCCGTTAGTCTGTTAGAACCATAACGGTCCGTCCCGTTAGTTGTTAAAACCCTAACCCGGTCCGACCCGTTAGTCTGTTAGAACCAAACCGGTCCCGATCCGACCGTTAGTCTGTTAAAAACCAAAAACGGTCCCGACCCTTTAAGTCTGTTAGAACCAATAACCGGTCCCGATCCGACCCGTTAGTTGTTTGAACATAACGGTCCCGCCCCGTTAGTCTTTGAACCATAACCGGTCCGATCCGACCCGTTAGTCTGTTAGAACCATAACCGGTCCCGCCCCGTTAGTCTGTTAAAACCATAACCGGTCCCGACCCGACCCGTTAGTCTTTAGAACATAACGGTCCCGAACCGTTAGTCTGTTGAACCATAACGGTCCCGACCCGACCCGTTAGTCTATTAGAACCATAACCGGTCCCGCCCCGTTAGTCTGTTAGAACCATAACCGGTCCCGACCCGACCCGTTAGTCTGTTAGAACCATAACCGGTCCCGACCCGTTAGTCTGTTAGAACCATAACCCGGTCCCGACCCCGTTAGTCTATTAAAACCATAACCGGGTCCCGATCCGACCCGTTAGTCTGTTAGAACCATAACCGGTCCCGACCCGTTAGTCTGTTAGAACCATAACCGGTCCCGACCCGACCCGTTAGTCTGTTAGAACCATAACCGGTCCCGATCCGACCCGTTAGTCTTTTAGAACCATAACCGGTCCCGACCCGTTAGTCTTTTAGAACCATAACCGGTCCCGACCCGACCCGTTAGTCTGTTAGAACCATAACCGGTCCCCCGACCCGTTAGTCTGTTAGAACCATAACCGGTCCCGACCGCCCGTTAGTCTGTTAGAACCATAACCGGTCCCGACCCGACCCTTTAGTCTGTTAGAACCATAACCGGTCCCGACCCGTTAGTCTGTTAGAACCATAACCGGTCCCGAACCGACCCGTTAGTCTGTTAGAACCATAACCGGTCCCGATCCGACCCGTTAGTCTGTTAGAACCATAACCGGTCCCGACCCGTTAGTCTGTTAGAACCATAACCGGTCCCGACCGCCGTTAGTCTGTTAGAACCATAACCGGTCCCGATCCCGACCCGTTAGTCTGTTAGAACCATAACCGGTCCCGACCCGACCCGTTAGTCTGTTAGAACCATAACCGGTCCCGACCCGTTAGTCTGTTAGAACCATAACCGGTCCCGATCCGACCCGTTAGTCTGTTAGAACCATAACCGGTCCCGACCCGTTAGTCTGTTAGAACCATAACCGGTCCCGACCCGACCCGTTAGTCTGTTAGAACCATAACCGGTCCCGACCCGACCCGTTAGTCTGTTAGAACCATAACCGGTCCCGACCCGTTAGTCTATTAGAACCATAACCGGTCCCGACCCGTTAGTCTGTTAGAACCATAACCGGTCCGACCCGACCCGTTAGTCTGTTAGAACCATAAACCGGTCCCGACCCGTTAGTCTGTTAGAACCATAACCGGTCCGACCCGACCCGTTAGTCTATTAGAACCATAACCGGCTCCCGAACCGACCCGTTAGTCTGTTAGAACCATAACCGGTCCCGATCCGACCCGTTAGTCTATTAGAATCCTAACCCGGTCCCGACCCGTTAGTCTTTAGAACCATTAACGGTCCCTCCACCCGTTTGTCTGTTCCTTACGTCCCCCCGTTAGTCTGTAGACCTTTACCGGTCCCGATCGTACCCGCCCGTTGTCTGTTAGATCCATAACGGGTTTCCCGTCCCCGTTAGTCTGTTAGACCATAACCGGTCCCGATCGACCCGTAGTCTGTTCATTCGGTCCCGCCCGTTAGTCTGTAGAACCATTACCGGTCCCGATCCGACCCGTTATGTCCTGTTAGAACCATAACCGGTCCCGACCCGTTATCTGTTAGAACCATAACCCCGGTGTCCCTCCCGACCCGTTAGTCTGTTAGAACCATAACCGGTCCCGATCCGACTTTAGTCTGTTAGAACCATTAACCGGTCCGACCCGGGACCCGTTAGTCTGTTAGAACCATAACCGTCCCGACCGTTAGTTATTGAACCATAACCGGCGCGACCACCCTTAGTCTGTTAGAACCATAACCGGTCCCGATCCGACCCCGTTAGTCTATTAGAACCATAACCGGTCCCGACCCGTTAGTCTGTTAGAACCATAACCGGTCCCGATCCGAACCCGTTAGTCCTGTTAGAACCATAACCGGTCCCGACCCGTTAGTCTGTTAGAACCATAACCGGTCCCGATCCGACCCGTTAGCCTGTTAGAACCATAACTGGTCCCGACCGTTAGTCTGTTAGAACCATAACCGGTCCCGATCGACCCGTTAGTCTGTTAGAACCATAACCGGTCCCGACCCGTTAGTCTGTTAGAACCATAACCGGTCCCGACCGACCCGTTAGTCTATTAGAACCATAACCGGTCCCGATCCCGACCCGTTAGTCTGTTAGAACCATAACCGGTCCCGACCCGTTAGTCTATTAGAACCATAACCGGTCCCGATCCGACCCGTTAGTCTGTTAGAACCATAACCGGTCCCGACCCGACCCGTTAGTCTGTTAGAACCATAACCGGTCCCGATCCGACCCGTTAGTCTGTTAGAACCATAACCTGTCCCGATCCGACCCGTTAGTCTGTTAGAACCATAACCGGTCCCGACCCGACCCGTTAGTCTGTTAGAACCATAACCGGTCCCGACCCGACCCGTTAGTCTGTTAGAACCATAACCGGTCCCGATCCGACCCGTTAGTCTGTTAGAACCATAACCGGTCCCGACCCGACCCGTTAGTCTGTTAGAACCATAACCGGTCCCGACCCGTTAGTCTGTTAGAACCATAACCGGTCCGATCCGACCCGTTAGTCTATTAGAACCATAACCGGTCCCGACCCGTTAGTCTGTTAGAACCATAACCGGTCCGATCGACCCGTTAGTCTATTAGAACCATAACCGGTCCCGACCGACCCGTTAGTCTGTTAGAACCATAACCGGTCCCGACCGACCCGTTAGTCTATTAGAACCATAACCGGTCCCGACCCGTTAGTCTGTTAGAACCATAAC